TGTATGCTAGTCGAGGGGGGGGGGGGGTGTGTGCACTTGACACTTTGTACAGTAATTTCTCTGACATGTTTCTAGCACTTCCCTTAAGTCATAGTTCTTACCTGGAGTGTGTGGTAGGGGATTGGGTTTTATGGAAGCTGTTTTCTCCCTACTGCAAGAGTCTGACAAGCATTGGCTTAAAATGAGGAGAGTTCCTTTACCCATAAACTACACTGCTGTGTGAGAAAATCTCTGCGTTTAACTTCGTTAATGTATCATAATTAATTTTGAAAATACATCACAATTTGATTTGAAAACACACTTTTAATTTTTCCCCTCTCTTCTAGCTGTGATCATGACTTCGTGGTATCTTTTCTGGAATAAAATCTACACTTTTAAGCCTTTTGGTGGGGGTGGGTGGGAGGGTAAATGTAGGCTTTGTACCTCAGTGATCCCTCTTGATTCTGTTAACATCAGTGTGCTGTTCTTACAGGAAATTTCCTTACAGAAATAAGGAGAAAGTTGTTTAAGAGGGGGGCATGCTTTCTTTGTGATCTCAAGAAATCATGACCTGTTGCCTAGATTATGGACTGGTTATCACTGAGCTCGTGAGGCCTTCGTTGCCTTTCTGGTTGTAAGGTTTACTTGTCTTTCTTCTTGTAACTGAAATAAATAAAAGTGCTGTTCATCTCAGTCTGTATGGGGACCGAAATTCTTGAATGTCAGTACAGTGCTGAATTAAACCTCAAATGCACAACACTTCTATAAAATAGCCCTTGCTACGACTTTTAAGCCCTTTCAGGAGGTGACGGTGCACAGAAGGTGACAGTAACTTCTAACATCATTCAGCCCAGAATTGCATTTCTGTGTGAAGAGGCTTAAAATTCAGCATCCTGGGCAGGATGTCTACTGTACTTGTGTACTCAAGGCAAATGTTAGGACACCTAATTTTGGCTTTGAGGGAGGGGTGAAAATTCTTCTATAAGAAAACTCATTTTTTTCTGTATTGATCTTGACAGGAAGAGGAAAATGTTGTATCATGGAGTAGTCTGAAGAGAATAACGGAAACAAATGTCTTAAGGCCAAACCAGTGGGTAAAGGCAGGGTCTGTAATAAGTAAGCAGCCAGAAAATATGAACTAACTCTCTCAGAGAGTTTCTTAGAATAACAGGAACTTTTCCAATGTGTTTCAAAGTAAGAAAGCATATGTAGTATTCATGGAAGGGTAACCTGTGTATAGCTGACTGTGGGGGGGAAGTTATTCCAAAGGCTTGATAAGTTCAGTTTCTACTGCCAGCCTCTGCAGAGCCCTAGAAGAATCCAGATCAGGTTAAGCCTTGCTTAAATTAAAGTAGAATGTCTTAATGTTATTGCTTTTCTGATGCAAATACTTGGTTCTAAAGAGCACCTGCTTTTTCCACCTCCACCCTCTCCCCAAGCAGCACGTCTTCTGATCCTACAGATTTCAAGCCCTCACTTGAAATACCTTAACTTTGTTGGATGAGCCTGGCCAGCATGGAGGGTCCAGCTCCAACTTATCTCCAGATACTGAACTGGCCTGTTTATTCAGGGCCATGCCATCAGAAATTCTGGGCCAAAATCAAGAGCCGTAGAGTTGTTCCTTCTTATCTTCTCCCCTGGACTCTATACAGAACTACCTAACCACCTTCTTCAAGAGACTGCAGCATCCATCAAGGAGATACGGCTTACACGGGTTCTAAAACAAAAACCTCCTACAGGTACTACTTGTCCTTTTTGTTTAAACTGAGGTCTAGGGTGAGGATTTGCTTAGAAAAGTATGGAATGGGCTTAAACATGTGAAAGAAGACGGCATGAAAAAGGTAGCTCACTCAGCAGTGGCAGCACCGTTCTACTTGCAAAGCAGGAAGCTGGAGTTGGTGCTTACACTGCAAATCTGACAAAGCAGGGAGTATTCCTCAGCGGGGGAAACAAATTAGACACGGCTCCTACGCTGTCATAGGAAGTTATCAGCATCAATAGGAGATTATATATAAAAGAGAGAAGAAATTTACATAGTTCATACCCGAAACATTGACAGCTGCAAGGAGGCAAGCAGGTTTCTCCTGCTCCACGTGGAGCAGGCTGAGGATTTTGTTCTGTGTCGACGTGCAATTGTATGACCACTACAGATCTCGTTAGTGTTCTGGGTCTATTTCATTAAAAGGTAGATAAGGATGCGTAGCATTGCTGAAGATGGGCAGTAGCTAGCTTCAGCCATATCTATCTTCAAGATTTAGTGAATTCCTCTGTAACTCTACTACTGTTACATGCACCTGACATCTCCTAGTTTTCTAGGAATCTATAAAACTGTTAGGCTGAAAAGAGCTCCTTGACTTGCCACTACTGGAAGATGGTGGGAATTCAAGCTTGGGAAAATGACTAGCAAGGGGATTTCTGGGAATTAACAGCTTTTGGTTAATGGAAGTGTATATTCTGGAATACTGGAACATCACCCGGCATCTCTGATTATGGTGTAGTGACAAGTGTCAATCCAACTACAGAGCAGCGGTTGCTTGCTGAAATGCAAGAACGCCCTCTGTGTCCCTTTGATTCATGGCAATCAGTGTTGAACAACATTTTGAACATCTTCATCTGCTTTCCTAGGCCACCTCTCTTACAGGGCATGAAGCTGAAGTGTGCTGGAGGACCGTAAGTACGATCATACAGAAAACTTCCTATGGCTTCTTCCTTAGCGAAGGCAGTCTTGGTATTGCTCCGTGACAAGTGAATACCAGCTTTTCCTATTTAAAAGCTTCCGGTCTCTCCTGTAGAGAATCAGAGGGTACAGTTCAAACCTTTGTGTCAATTGCTTCCCCAAACTTCTGATTTAAGGCATTACAATAAAAATACCAAAGCACTCTATAAATAACTCTAGAAGATACATCTATTATGTTTGGCAGCTTCAGTTTTACAAATACAGGATTTAACTTGATGTTTTCCTCCTTCCACAAGTTGGTTGCTCTGATGGCTGTAAAAGATGTAAAATGCTGTAAAACATCTTCAGTTATGACCCAAGCTAGTCTCCAGATCTCTTCAAGGTAAGCCACTATTTGGCTGATGTTTGTGGGGAAATACAGAGCTTATCTTGAATATTTTGCTGGCAGTTACTTGTTCTACATATTTGAGGAGAAAACCTTCAAAACTATCAACTGAGAAGATTCAGATCCTTGTTTTAGAAGATTCAAATCCTGTCAAAGGATACGTGGGTCAGGCATAGAATACATGAAATAGGGAGCTCTTGGAATGGATATTTTGGTAGGAAGCGATCGGATTTACTTCCTGACATCACAACTTCTCAAGATGGGAAGGTATGTCTTGACTCGCTTGCCGTGTATTGGTCATTAATATTCTGATCAGTGTAACAGCCTGATTCATTGAGTACCATCATCCCAAAAGCATTCTATTAAGTGTCCTTAAATAAAAAAAAAAATGCTCTGGAAAATGCACTTTTTGTCACATTTTAGTTTCAGAAAATATGAGTCATTGCTAGCTTTCTTCCCTTTTACTGATTCAACTAGGCTCTGCTCTAATAAACCTAGCAGTAGTATGGACATGACCTAAAACTTGGTATCTTCTCCCTTTCTCCTCTTCCCTCCTCCAGTCTGCCAAGGACTATTGTAGGGAATTAGCGAAGCACAGATGGAGTAAGAGGTGCAACTGTGGATTTGTTTCTTATCACCTTTCTACCTTGCCTTATGGTCTTCTTTTCTGCCTTCTACTTCAAGATCTCACCTGCTATCCACTAACACACTGGAAAAATGCTGTGCAATGGGGTCTGTTGGTGTTTCCAGTGAAGGGTCCTTGATGTGCTTCTGCTACTTTTTAATCGGTGTGAAAGCTTGAAGAATTAGGTTTTTGAGTAAGAGTGAACAGTGAATGAGCAGTAGAGAACGAACATTTAAGACCAAGTGTTTC